GATCCCGCCCCCTTGGCAACGCTACGGCGGCGCAGGGCGGACAAGAGACCTCAAACCGCGAACGCTCCGCACCAAATTCGGGCAGAAAACGGCAAAGTTCCGTACCCAAGATGCGTAAAATTGGGGCAAAAAAGGGCAAATCTGTGATTTTTTTTCTATGTTTGAGCGCCCTTTCCGCCCGAACGGTTTTCCCCCCTGTTAGGCCTCAGTGGCAGCGCGGTTGCTAAGGAAAATGGCGCCGTTGCTAAGGGCCTCCACGCCGTTGCTAAGGCCCGCAGCCAATCAGGGAGCGTTGCCAGGCAGATCCCGCCCCCTTGGCAACGCTACGGCGGCGCAGGGCAGACAAGAGACCTCAAACCGCGAACGCTCCGCACTAAATTGGGGCAAAAAAGGGCAAATTCGCGATTTTGGCTATTTTTGAACCCTGTTTCCACTCGAAGGGTTTTCCCCACACACAGAGGGGGCTGAAAACGGCTGTTTTGCACAGAAGCATCCGCGCGTTTCACTGAGGAGGGCATTGAGCCGTTTTGGGGTGAAAAAGGGCGATTTTGGTTAAAAACAGAGCGAGCAAAACCTCTTCTTTTCTGTCACGCACTTAATTGAATTGCACTTAATTAATTGCCTCGGTCTTAATGCGGCGCTTCGATCCCTTTTCCCCCCTTTTCTCAAAGGCCCCAAATTTCCGCCATTTCGGTGCAATTTCTTTTAATTTCCCTCATTTTAATAATTAATTTTTTTCCCCCTAATTTTATTTTATGGATCGGCCGTTAATTTCTTATTTTTTTCCCGCGACGGTAAATGATTCAAACGAGCTTTTATTTTCATTCGTTTATTTATTTCCTTTTATTTTTTTTTTCAATTTATTTTTATTTTTCATTTATTTTTATTTTTCATTTATTTTTATTTTTCATTTATTTTTATTTCCTTTTATTTTATTTTTTTCATTTATTTTTATTTTTCATTTATTTTTAATTTTCATTTATTTTTATTTCCTTTTATTTTATTTTTTTCATTTATTTTTATTTTTCATTTTTTTATTTTTCATTTATTTATTTTTTTATTTTAATTTTCTTGATTTTTCTATGTTTTTTTAAATATTTTATTTTGTTTTATTATCTAATTTTATTTTATTTATATTTTATTTATTTTATTTTATTTATTTATTTTATTTTTTCTTGATTTTTCCGGGGTTTTTAAATATTTTATTTTGTTTTATTATCTAATTTTATTTTATTTATATTTTATTTTATTTTATTTTATTTTATTTTATTTTATTTTATTTTGTTTTATTTTGTTTTATTCTATTTTATTTTATTTTGTTTTATTTTATTTTATTTTATTTTACTTTATTTT